CAAGCTGGAAGACAAGTTGAAGTAGTAGTAAAGACTACACATGAATATGAAGAAAGTTAAAGTCCTCACAACTGGATTGACAAACGACATCATGATAAATGAAGAAAAAAAACAGAAGTTGTCAACAATCAGTGACCATGGAAGGAAAAGTCAAGAAATCAAACAATGTGCTACCTTGGCCAAATTTGCTACAAAAGACCTCATGACGTTTTAAAAAAAATGTTTTCTTGCTGGTCCGAGTGCAGTGGAGGCCGCAACTAATTGATCACAGCCAGTTACAGATTTCTAAAAAATGTTTTCTTGATTTGCATATACATTCATATACATCGTGTTTTGTACATATGCTTTGTGTGTTTTATATAATCATCCTGATACACTATATTTTATATTATTACTCTATGCCTATTTCACCTTGTCTTTTTTATTTAAGTCCCCATCTCTTAAAGTTTAAAAAGGCAAAAATGTCACCGCCATAACTAAGGAACATCAGATTCAGGTAGGTGGTGGTCTTTTCAACTGTCTCAGATGCATGCAAAAGTTGTTGCTGTTGTTAAGTGCAGTCAAGTCGTAGGCGAATCATAGCGACCCTATGAACGAAAGTCCTCAACACTTGGGTGACATTCATCCTTTCTCCAGGATCATAGGATTTCCAGAGGCAAGTTATTATGGAAGTGGATGCCACTCCTGCATGCAAAAGTTGCATGGTGAAAAACTGATGCATTAGAACTGCAGTGTTGGCAAAGAATATTGGAAATACTGTGAAATAACAAAAGAAAAAAATGAATCTGTTTTAGAAGAAATACAATGAAATTATTCTTTGATGATGAGACTTTGATACACTTCTTTTGAGTATGAGATTTGAAACTATCAATCACTAAAAAACAAGACAACTGGGGGAGAGGGCCAATAAAACAAAGTCATCCTTCCATGAGACAGACTGACACAGCAGAACAACAATGAACCCCAACAAGCACGAAAATGGCAGAGGACCAAACAATATTTCACTTTGGTTGCTATGAGTCAATACTCACTTGATGGCAAGTAATAATATTCAGGAAAGTACAAGCTATGAAGGGTTGCCTGGTGGCCTTGAATGTTAAGTCAGTGTTAGGAATGCATCTCAGTGTAGGATCTAGCTTGTACCACCCTCCAGGAGTTGACTGTTCAATTTCCAGGTATTTTGTGACCTGGTTGACGTCATGGCTTAAAATAAATCACAGTGGGAATACTTAAACCACAGAAATCATCAACTGCTAAACATCAGCTCCCTTAGTTCCCCACTGATTCGGGAGAGAGCCGAGAGCTTTTGAAGTTCTGTATTTTTAACCTAAGAGTGATATTATGAAAGCATTCCTTCTGGCCAATCTGTGAAAAATGCACAAGTGGTTTACAGCAGGGAAAGAAACAGAAAGCTGAGAAATGAAGTTGGGAGGTCAGAGTTTAGGTAACTGATGCGGCTGAGTAAAAGGAATGCAGTGAAATGGATGCTTTCAAGAAGCCATACAAGAGTATAGATGGACTTGATAGAGATGGGATTGGCAGAGGTAGTGGGAATGAATGAAGAGATAAGGGAAAACAAATAAGATATTACTTTTAAATGAGGATACTGAAATCATTTTTTAAGGGTATCTATATTGTAAGTTGATCTTACAGTAATAAATTTTGCTGAACACCTTTATTAAATACAGACTTCTAGGGGTTTTTTTTTGTTGTTGTTTTGTTTGTTTTCACATAGACAAGCACATCTTTGGAAGATAAGGTTATTTTTCCTCTTTGATTCCAGCTTTTATTCATTTTCTTTATTTATTGAACTCGTTAGAGTATCCAGAAAAATAATTAAAGGCGCTCTTGGTGCAGAGTGTCAAGGACTGTAGTCTGCAATATGGACTGAATCTCATTATCAAGGAAACAAAGATTCTAACCACTGGGCCAACTGGCAGCATCATGACAGATGGAGAAGAGATTGAGATAACAATTTCAGCTTCTTTGTTTCACAATCAACACTCTTGGCACAAGCAGTCAGGAAATTAAAAGACGAATTGCATTAGGAAAATCTACTACTGTCAAGGACCTCTTCAGAGTACTAAAGAGCAACAATGTCAGTCTAGAGACTAAGGTGTACGTGATCCAGGCCATGGTTTTCTCAATTACCTGCTATGTATCAGGTTGCAGGACAGTGACCAAAGAAAACAGAAGAAACACTTAGGCCTTTAAGTTGTGGTGCCAGAGAAGAGTACTGAACATACACTGGACTGTTGGGAGAACTAATAAGTCTGTTATGGAGAGGATGAAGACAAGCTCCTCCTTGGAGGCAAGGATTTTAAGGCTCCATCTCACATACTTTGGGTATGTTGCCAGGAAGAATAAATCCTTGGAAAAGGACATCAAGCTTCAAAGGGTAGAAGGACAGACAGTGCAGTAAAGAAAGGCCCCAGATGAGATGGAGTGACACAGTAACTGATGAAATGAGGGTAGGTGTGTCAGAGACAGAAAGATTGGCCCAGGATAGAGCAGGGTTCAGAGCTATTCCACATAGGGTTGCTATGAGTTGTGGTCAACTCAGTGGCACATTACAAAAACAAGCTCTGTTATTACTTAGGACAAAAAGAATTCAATACGGTGCTATCTACTTTTTAATACATTAAATCAGTTATTTCATGAAATTTCATTTTATACATCTTGGCTGAAAGCAGGGAATACCGGAGGAATGTCTAAGAAAGCAGGGAATACCAGAGGAATGTCTATCTGTGTTTCACTGACTATGCAAAGGCATTTGACTGTGTAGATCATAACAAACTGTGGCTGACTCTGAGAAGAATGGGAATCCCAGAACACTTGATCGTTCTAATGCGAAACTTATACTTGGACCAAGAGGCAGTCGTCAGAACAGAGCAAGGGAACACTGCATGGTTCAAAATTGGGAAGGGCGTACACCAGGGATGCATCCTATCTCCATACCTTTTCAACCTATATGCAGAACAGATTATCCAGGAGGCTGGGCTCTATGAGGAGAAATGTGGGGTCAAGATTGGTGGACAATTTATCAACAATCTGCGTTATGCGGATGACACAACCCTGCATGCTGAAACTGAAGAAGACCTGAAGCACCTGCTGCAGAGTGTCAAGGACTGCAGCCTACAATATGGATTGAGGCTCAATGTCAAGAAGACAAAGATTCTCACCACTGGACAACTGGCAGCATCAGGATGGATGGTGAAGAGATTGAGATTGTACACAGCTTTAGCTTGCTTGGCTCCACAGTCAACAGTCTTGGCACCAGCAGCCACGAAATTAAAAGACGCATTGCCATGGGAAAGTCTGCTGTTAGGGACCTCTCCAAAGTACTGAAGAGCAATGGTGTCTCTTTGGAGATTAAGGTGCGTCTGATACAGGCCATGGTCTTCACAATCACTTGTTATGCATCAGAGAGTTGGACAATGACCAAGGAGGATAGAAGGAGAATTGATTCCTTTGAGCTGTGGTGCTGGAGAAGAGTATTGAGAATACCATGGACTGCTAGGAAAACAAACAGATTTGTCCTGGAAATGGTTAAACCGGGTGGCTCCTTGGAGGCAAGGATTCTGAGGCTCCATCTAACATACTTTGGACATGTTGTGAGGAGAGACAGGTCCTTGGAGAAGGACATCATGCTTGGGAGGGTGGAGGGACAGCGCAGGAGAGGAAGGCCCTCTATGAGGTGGATTGATTCAGTGACTGGGATAATTGGGATGGGAGTGTCAGAGACAGTGCGATTGGCACAGGACAGAGCGGAGTTTAGGGCTCTTGTACATAGGGTCGCTATGAGTCGCAAGTGACTCGACGGCACATAACAACAACAACAACAACACTAATTATATTGCAAATCAACAATCAAGAAATAGAATTCTACAACTTTTTTTACTCATCATAGTACATAATAATAATAATAATAATATAATAACAGTATCTAAAAATAAGCTAAGTCCAAGTTAATTTACCACTTTGGTCAAAGATTTTGCAGTATCCAAATATCAGCTATCCTTAATATCTCATAATATTAGTTAGAAAATAAACAAAAATATATGAAAAGAAGGAAAAGATACATATAAAAGAACAAAGCTTCAGTTTCTAAAACAACAGAAACTGGTTTTAATCTTCATGTTCCAATTAAATCATTACTGTGTAAGTAAGAACCTTTCCTAATAGTTCATAAGTATTTAAAATTGTTAAACTGTCTTCCTTCATAAATATTAATAAAAATGTGATAAAAATGTAGCTAAGTGTGATGTTCTCATATATTAATCTTTTGAATTGTACATTTTTATTTTCTTTAGGAAAGTACAAACATGACTGCCAAGAAATGAAATACCGCCATTTAAAAGTCCTACATGAGCAAACAACTTCCTTGACTCTTTAGCTAAACACTGTTTAAAGTGATGCAAGTGCTTATTCACAGACAAGAGAATTTTAAATAAGAATCATATTTTCAGTACAAATCTTTTTAACAAATAATATTATGATATTTTCCTGAAGGTATAAGCCCACTAATAAAAGTCCTACTAATACTCTTCATAGCACTTATGATTACTTGTAATTACAAAAGCTCCTGAGGTACCCTGAAGAAATAATCATTAAATACATTATTTTAGTACCAACAAAGCAAGTGTGTGTTAAAAATTTTTTAGGTGTTAAAAATTTCTTAAGACTACTGATATGTTTTATAGTCATTACAGGAGAGGGAGAGGATAATTTTCTGATCTTATTCTTAAGTTTCTCTTTTAAAAAAACTATCCCTAATGTTACTGATTCCCAGATGATGTGTATTAGAAGTGAAATTTCCATAGTTTTCAAAATCGGTATACAAAAGTAAATGAGTAAATTTTCTATATGCCTATGGAAGGAAAAGTCTGTTCTAGAGTGATTATTTCATTGCCATTTATAGAAAGATATACAGATTCATAATGAAGACTAAGCAGACTGATTACAAAATAACCATTTCCAATGATAAAAATATTAAATATTCATTTGAAAAATAGATCAAGGGTGTGTCTGGAATTGCTCGGCTTTATTTTCTTTGGTCTTGAAGATTTTGGTATCAGTCCTGGCCTGGAGTGAAAAACAACACACAATTAAAATGTGAGAAGAAAACGGAAAAAAGATAATTTTACAAGTCACTGATTTTTTAATGTTTCTTACTTCTTTAAAATTAGGCTTCAGAAAATGAGTTTTGCTGAGTTTTGTTAAATCAAAATAAATGAGTTGCCATTAAGTAGATTCCAATTTACCTTTTAGTTTTTGTTCCAGTCTTCTGCCCTCTGCCTGCACTACCTACAGAGGAAAGAAGAGAAATCCTATAATGAGCAGCATGAAACTATTAAAAAGCTCGAGCTATTTTAAAGGTTAAAAGTCATAATAAGACATTTTGTCAGTACTATAATTTATGCATCATTTCTTTGTAGTTTACTAGATTTACTACATTTTTTAAACAAAATTTTTCTTTTTTACTGGTTTTTTTACAAAGTTTGAATACATTGTTTTTCAAACAGGATCTTCCCCCTTTCATTTCCCATCCCTCCCTCCACCCATCACATCATCATTTACAATTCTTTCTATAATCTGGCCAAAATCAGAACTACGTTGAATTTTCTTTTAGAGAATTTCTTTTATAATTTTTATTGCTCAGCTCCTTAAAGTTCTGAGTTCAAGTCCAGCCTAAACTATGGTTTTTTCAATATTCACCATCTAGTGGCTTCAATTCATTTTAACCTGCAAGGCACTAATATTTTCTTAAACAGTAACACACACACACACACACCCCTAGTTCTGCCATTTCAATTCTAACCGATAGTAACCTTCCACCGGGTTTCTGAAGCCACAAACTGTTCTAGAAGACTGCCAATCTTTCTTGCTTAACGTAGCTGGTGAATTTGAACTACTAACCTATTCATTAGCAGCTTGATGCTAGGCATTATGTCACTAGGGCTCTTCAACATACACAAATGATCTCTTTAATGGTTTGTGACTCAGTTTTTTTTACAAAATATCATTAACTAGAGTAATACACATTCCTAGAAAATCTATGACTGCAAACTCACCAGTACTACTTGAACTCTCTTTGGGTTGGTTAACAGGATCAATTTCGTCCTTCCTCAGTTCCTTAATAAGACCTTTATTTAAGCACACATCCACATGCATATTGAATACAGAAAGATCCGAAGTCTTTTGTTCTCGGTTACAAACAGGGCAAACTAGAGCTTGGTCTTTTATCTTCTCTTGTAAATAAGGCTGGAGGGATTCTTGCCTACTTAAAGCCATACCAGCTTCATTCTCCAATGAAAGAGGACAAGAAGAACTCAGATCAGTATTAAAAGACTTGCCTTCCTCTTTGTTGTACTTATCACCTAAAGCAGCTATACTTTCTTCTTTGGATAAGTTACTTACAGTCTCTACCAAATCTACACAGTCTGCTGAAGTGATTTCCATATTCTCCAGATGGGTTTCAGAACCCTGCCTCTCAGAGAGAGGAAGAGACTGAGGTACATTTTCTTTCTTGCTACCTTCTGTGGAAGAAGCATAATCATCACTGACTGAAGGTCCACCTAGACACGCATCCACATGTCTATTAAAGGCTTCCAGAGCTATGTTTTCTTGCTCCCTAAAGCAAACAGGGCAGGTAAACAGCTGACAGTTAACAGAATTCTTTGAAGTTTCCAGGTTCTCATTGTTCTTTAAAACTTGGAATGGCTGCAATGTATTTAAACTCTGCTTATTCACAGTTTCACATTTCAATGTGTCTTTGCGGTTCTGTTCCATTTCTGATCTTTTTCTATCGAAGAAACTCGTCTTGTGAGCTGTTTCCAGAGGTTTTAGAAACTGATCTTTGTCATTTTTCTCTAGTGTACATCCAGTGGCTGCCAGGGGTTGGTTTCGAGCTTGTAAGAAGCCAATGATACTTCTTTGTTGCTGTTTCCTGTCTTCTTCATTGGGAAAACTAGATATCCGCACACCTACATTAAATGAACCACAATAAATCAATCTCTAAGCCAACAAGACTAATATGTTAACTATATATAAATATATACTGTACTATACTGTTGTGACATATATATAAAAGACTGGCTAGAGAGAAATAATAGGCTAGAGAGAAATAATCACTAGGGGAAATTTTATACACTAAAGAAAGAATGATTTTCAAAACTAGCCTTTTGAGTGGAAATTTACTTTCCTTTATAAATTTAATTTTCTTCACCCTCAACTATTGAATACCTATTGATACATTTATAGATATTTTCAATAAAGTTACTTTATTCAATCTATTTCAATATGTTCTATCTTTCATATATTAAAGCACATAAACACACTTTTTATAAGAAGACTGGGGATTTTTGGTGCTTATGCATACACATTCTTTTACTCAGTTCACTTTAGAAATAGGCTTTATTTCCTTTTGACCAGGTAGTGACTGTAGATGTGGCTATAATATGAATTAAGGGCAAAAAGTAGAAAAGAAATATTATACCCATAAGTCTTAATCTCAAGGGATGTGGAAAATCAGCATCAATTTCTGTTTTAAGCAATTCCTTAGCAATGGCAAATATTTCTTCTGCAGTGGAAACAACAGATGAAACTGTAGATGCACGAGTTTTTACTTCAAAATTCACATTCTTCAGCTTAATGGTAACAGTTCTACCCTACAACAGAGAGAATATGTCTTTATACACAGCTTTTCAACTTGTGGAAAGTCACTTTACATATTAGAAAACTTATGAATATATAAAAATATAAAAGCATAATTATTTATAAAACACGATCATGAGAATGTTAAGAATGAAAATCCATAAGTAATCTGAACATGCTATTTTAACCAAAATTGTTACTCTCTCCCCAAATATCTGTAAAATATTTTTAAGCATAAAGTTAACTATCTTCCTTTTTTAAATGAAATCTTTTAGATGACTTTAAAGAATAATTTGATGTGCTTCTGTAATATACAATTATAAAATCAAGTAAGCCAGTTACTGTTGAGTTTGTTCTGACTCATGTGACAATGTGTGTGAGGATAGAATCCTGCTCCATAGGCTTTTCAGTGGCTGGTTTTTTTTTTTCAGGAAGAAGAAAGCTAAGCCTTTCTTCCGATGCGTGTCTGAGTGCACTTACAGCAGCCAACCACATTAACCATATACACTACTTACAGGAATTCATTCTCTTTCCATGTTTCCTAATGTTCATCTAACTCATTCAAATCTATCTGTAAGGTGGCATAAACTCTGGAATCATCCTGGAACCACTTGTACCTAAAATATTTCTTTATATGACTTCAAACTGGGTGTTAGATCCTGACCAGAACTGAATTTGCTCTCATTGTTGGACAACATTCTTTCTAAGATTTTTCAGTTTGTATTCATCTGAAGAAATGAGTACTCTAACTCTTGCTTCAAGGTATCATCTCATTATTATAATTTTTAGTAACATATTAAAATAAAATACCTTAAGTCCTTCTTTCTGGAGATCTTGAGCAAGTTCACCACAAAGTTCTTGACACAAGCTGTACTGTTCTTCTGCTTTACTTATCTCACTGAATGTCCTAGAAAGATAAGAATGATATTGGCACAAAAAATAAACTGTATGTCCGGATAATTCAGGAAAGGAATAGGGTGTTTAAATGCTATTTTAAGTTATAATTTCTGCAGTACACAAGAAAAGCATTAAGTTCTGTTTTCTACAATTTGGTTGTTGTTATGGGCTGTTGAGTTGCCTGCGACCCATAGTGACCCTTTGTATAGCAGCTCTGAAGCCTGCCCCCCTGTCCTGAGCCAGTCTTACTAAATCTGACACAACAAACCTCATTGTCCCAGTCACTGTATAAATCCATCTCATCTGGGATCTTTCTTCCCTGCACTGTCCCTCCACCCCTCCAAGCATGATGTCCTTCTCCAAGGATCAGTTTCTCCTGGCCACGTGCCCAAAGTATGTGAGATGGAGCTTCAAATTCCTAGCCTCCAGGGAGAAAGTTGGTTTCACCCTCTCCAAGACAGACCTATTTGTTTTCTTGGTGGTCCATAAGAACGTTCAAGATTCTTCTCCAGAACTACAATTTGAAAGCATCAATTCTTTTTCTGTCATTCTTAGTCACTGTCCAGCTCTCTGATGCATAGCAAACATTTGTGAAGATCATGGCCTTGATTAAGCACACCTTTGTGTCCAGATTGACATCATTGCTCTTCAGCACTCTGGAGAGGTCTCCAACAGCAGATTTTCCCAAGGCAATTCATTTTTTTAATTTCCTGACTGCCGGTGCCAAGACTGTTGATTGTGGAGCAGAGCAAACTATAATTGTTAACAACCTCAATCTCTTCTCCATCTACCATGGTGCTGCCAAATGGCCTAGTGGTGAAAATCTTTGTCTTCTTGATATTGAGCTTCAATCCATATTGAAGACTACAGTCCTTGTCCTTCTGCAGCAAGTTCTTCAGGTCTTCCTCAGTTTCAGCAAGCAAGGTTGTGTCATCTGCACAATATAGGTTGTTGATAAGTCTTCTTCCATTCCTGATGCCACATTCCTCCTCATAAAGCTCAGCCTCCTGAATGATCTGTTCTGCATATAGATTGAAAAGGTAGGAGACAGGATACATCCCTGACATACTCCATACTCCCTTCCTGATTTTGAATACATAATAAAATTTACATAAGTACTATAACAGAGTCATACTAAATAAAAACAAGTAGGAGCTACATAAATAATGGAAAATCATTTAGAGAAACAGATGAGCAAAGACATAACTTACGCTCTTGTTTTTCTACAATATTAAAAAAGATTATTTAATCGCTAATAGCCAATGATAATGTCCTCAGAACTAACTCGTAACATATTCAATATGTGTGCATAAAGACTTTGCCACAAGGGATTATCCTAAGAAAATATTGGTGAGAACATGATTCCAATTACTGCATACATATTTCCTGTAAGGGAAATATCTGCAAGCAGATTTATGTTAGTTCAGGGCACCTAGAGAGAGTTGTCTAATAACAACTGGAAATGTAGAGAAGTTATGATTTTTTTTATTATTAATCTAAACAACTTTTAAGAAAAAAACCAATCCAAAACAAACTTGATTTCAATTTTCTGTTATGCACCAGCTTTTAAGCTTTGGTCATACCATACCTCCTTTTCTAAATTGCTAACATCCAGGTTACCCCAAATCCCCTGAGACAAGTGTAAACTTTCACTGCTTGCTTTCTCATGACTTAGCACCTGCGGTGTTTTTCTGCAGAGGGGCCAGGATAACCCCGGCATTCCTGTCTTCACTTTCCGAGTTGTACAAGTTATGCTTTTCAATGTACTCTTGCACGAGATCTGGGACCAAGTAGCGAATGCTCTGGCCCCTTCGCAGAGCTCGCCGGATTTTCGTGGAAGAAATGTCATTGGTGATCCACTCGTCCACCAGGTGAATGTTGCTCCGGTGTTTCCACAGCACATCTGACTCGTAGATGAACTTCTGCGCGTCATTTCCGGCCCGAGTGATGCAAATGAGACCGTAGACTTCCACGATTTGGGCAATGTCCTCACTCTTCCACAAACTGGGGACGCCAAAGGACTCTAGTAAGTCTACCCCACACAGCAACTTCACCTCTGGCATACCTTTTGTTTTCAGCTCGAAGGGTTTCTTTGGACTAAATTCTTGTTTTTGTTCAGACCTCTTTCTCTTGCGTCCAGGTCTCTCCTGAGCTGGTGAGTCTTCCTGGCTGTCAGAGTAAACAGCTTCCAGTTTCTCCTGATGGTGTCTTAGCACTTTCACAGTCTCTATCCATTCCTTCTGAAGACTTTCCCACGTGTCAACTTCTAACCACTTTGAATTCCTGGTTGCCAACTCTGCCATGATAACTCGGTGGTGGGCCGGGATGAGTCCTTTCTTCTTATACGCATCACCAACAGGAGAAATGATGCCTTTGACAACTTTATACTTTCCTGTTCCATTCAAGTAGTCCTTGGCCAGCTCAAATAGCCTGAGGTGCATGTTGGTGATAGGATTAAAAGAACCACAAGCCAGGAGCACCACCTCAGTCTTCTCGGACTTTTCCATGGTGAGAATTCGAAGTTGCTGATCTAAATGGAATACTCTGACATTTCCCTTGTTATACAACTAGGGGTGACGTAGGCCCAGGTTGCAGGGACTGGAGAGCAAGGCGCAGGGATCCTGTAGACAGTCAATTTCGGCACAGCTGAATGCTGTCTTTCAGGAAATCGAATTTCCCAAGCAAGTAGAGAAGTTATGATTAACTGTTCAAACCTTGAATTTATCTACACAGTGTGTTTAAAGAAGTTGAGAGAATAAACAAACATAAAAGAAGGGACTAAATTCAGATCAGAATGCTGCACACAGACCCTGAGCAAATTATTACAGGGTGGAGTCTCCTGCTACTGTAATACATAGTCACCAGGTTCTCCCACTGGTAATCAACACTGCCACCTCCTTATTCTCATCAATTTCTCAAGAAATATTCTATACTTACATAAGCAAACAAACATTTCTCTCATCCTAATTTACATAAACATTGGGATTGTTGTTGTTAGGTGTTATTGTGTCACCTACAACTCATAGTGGCACTATAAACAATTGATCTGAACCATCCCCTGATCTGCTCGAGCCCATTGTTACAGTCAATCCATCATCTTGGGAGTTTTCATCTCTTTCTCTGACCCTCCACCTTTCTCAGTATGATGTCTTTTTCCAAGGACTGGCCCTTCCTTGACAATATGTTCATCCAATGAGTGAGAAAATTTCACCATATGAGCCTCTAAGGAGTGCCTGCTTGCATTTCCTCCAAGACAGACTTGTTAGTTCTTTTGGCAGTCCATGGGATATTCAGCACTCTTCTCCAACACCAAACTCCAAGGCATCAATTTTTTTTTGTCATCCTTATTTATTGTACAACTATCAGATGCATGGTAAGTGACTGAAAAGAAAAAGGCTTCAATCATAGTCACCCTGGTCTTTAAATTGAAGTCTTTGTTCTTTAGCACTTTGGAGAGGTTCTTGACAGCAGATTGTTCCAGTGTAACACATCTGTTTATTTCTTGACTGCTGCTACCTTAGGTGTTAACTGTAGATTCAAGTAAAATCAAATAATAGACAACTTCAATCTTTTCTCCATGTGTCACATTCTTTGGACCTGTATATAATCCATATTGAAGGTTGTAGTCATTGATCTTATGCATTAAGTGTCTCAAGTCACCTTCACTTTTAGCAAGCAAGGTTGTGTCATCTGCATAATGCAAGTTCTTGATAAGGTCACATTTGTCTTTGTATAGTTCAGCTTCTCAAATTATTTGCTCAATATCTGATAGGTATGGAGGGAGGATATGAACTTGTTGCTCACCTTTCCTAAATTTAAACTACACAGTGTTCTATTGCTCTGTTTGGAAAATAGCTTCTTGGTCTAGGTTTCTCAGAAGCACAATTAAGAGTTCTGGAATTCTCATTCTTCTCAAATATTAGTCATACTTTATTATGAGCCATATGGTAAAAAATAACTTTGCAAAACCAATAAAACACAAGTAAACACTTTCTTCTTTGTCATCCAATTCTTTTTGGTACAGTGATTCTATGTAATCCTTCCATCTTCTTTTGATGTTTTCAGGATCATTCAAGATTGTGCCCATAGCATCTTTCAGTATTGCTACTTGCGTCCTGAATTTGTTCAAGCCTTCAGCTTAAGAAATGCCAAGTGAGTTCGTCACTTTTGATTTTCTATCTCCAGCTCTTTTCACATTTTGTTATAATATTTTCCTCTGTCTTCTCGAGCTGCCCTTTGAAATCTTCTGTTCAGCTCCTTAACTTCCTGATTTCTTCCCTTTGCTTTGGCTTCCATACCTTTTCAATCAATATGTGAAATAGATCATTCAGGAGACTGAATTCTATTTCTATTGGAGAAAGACTCATCAACAACCTGACTTACAAAGATGACAAAACCTTGTTTACAGAAACTGAGGAGGGCTTGAAGCATGTGTTATAGATGACCTTCTAGTCAAGGGCTATAGTCTTTAATATGGATTGCATCTCAATATCAAGAAAACAAAGATTCTCGCCACCGGGTCTATTGGCAGCATCATGACAGATGGAAAAGAGACTGACATTGTTAACAATTTCATCTTGCTTGGATCCAAAATAGTCTTTTGGCACCAGCAGTCAGGTAATCAAAAGAAGAATTACTTTGGGAAAGTCTGCTGTCAAAGATCTCTCCAGGGTGCTAAAGAGTAATAATGTCAGTCTAGAAACTAACATGTGCCTGACCCAACCCATAATCTTCTCAATTACTTACTATGTAACTGAGTGCTGGATAATGACTAAGGATGACAGAAGAAGAATCAATGCCTTTGAGTTGTGGTGTTGGAGAAGAGTACTGGACTAGACTGTCAGAAGAAAAGACAGGTCTGTCCTACAGTGAGTGAAACCAGGCTGTTCCTTGTAGGCAAGGATTATGAAACTCTGTCTCACATACTTTGGGCTTGTGACCAAGGACCAATGCTTGGAAAAGGACATCATGCTTGGTTATTACAGTTGTGTGCTAGGTTTTGAGGCCAGG